ATAGCACTCGCAAACAATCCGGTCTTCCACGCCAGAACAAAACACATAGAAGTGGATTGCCACTTCATTCGAGATTGCATTAAGAAGAGTCAAATTTCAATTCACCATATTTGCACCAACGACCAACTAGCAGATATATTCACCAAGGCTTTACCCACACAACGATTCAAACAAATTTCCAGCAAACTCATAGCCACTACGCAGCCATCAGTTTGAAGGGGGCTGTTAACATACTGCACACGTGGCAGGACACAACTGGTCCTTTGTCTTGTACTGTTAGAATAGGACGTACTTTCTTGTACTAACTTCTCTATATATATTACATCTGTACATGGCTAAAGTAATGAAGTAAGAAATAAAACTTTTCTATCTCTACTCTGTTTTTTCTTGTTCGTGAAACTTTTCCTTAGTCTCTGTTTCTTTCCTTTCAAGGAGTCTGTCAAGATTCCTCTGTTCAACAATAACATATCAGTAATGGCTCTCGCAAACAACCTGATATTTTACGCTCGCACCAAGAAGTTTGATTTGAGGGCGGTGATAAGTCATGAGAGAAGCTTTTCGCCTGATCTATACTCTCCACATCTACACTTGTGCAAAAAGGCTTCTCTCCCCTCTACCCTGCCAACATTACACAACATAGTGGTTGAAATCTTAAACTTGCTAATTAGTCCAGAATATTCTCTACATTATGTCAAGCTATTTATACATTAAGCAAAATTTGTATTTGTGGTGATCCTTTATATTTTGAGTGAAGAAATTAATACATTGTTGGTTTTTCAAAACTCCCTCTTCTATCTCTCTTTGTTCTTCCAGCTTATCTCTTATGTCTTCTTTCATGATAAGTTCACTTCTTATGAAGGAGAGAAACGATAAAGAATGTTTGGTTTTGACTTTTGAGTTATCTGCTTTGATAAGTGCTATTGCTTTCTAAGGAACATCCTTTTGTTCAAATTAGTAGCCCATGAAATTGGAGAAGATGAGGGACTAAATACAAAACACTTTAGATGTTTGATGTGACAATACTAGTAACTTGCAAGTAACACATTGAAATATGAAAGAAGTTTTTGGAGTTACGAAAGAAGTTTCAGGCTCATATTATCAATGTGTTGAGAACGGGAGTTGAATTCTATGAAGTCAAATATCGTTATTCCTCAGTTGCTCGCTGGTAGAGTGGTGTTGTTAACTGACTTTTCGTAGGTTCAATCCTATTTTGAAAATTTTGATACATTATTCATTCTTTCATGAAGAATTGAATGCCTGTTTTAACCATTAAGAGTAGGTAACTCCAAAAATAGTGCTAATTTTTAAAAATTGATTAGGTTAATATTTTATTAAATGAAATATTTAATAAATGTTTTTAATAACATGAGAAATTTACATACATACCACTTTGTAACATCCTATTTACAAATCTAACACCTAAAATTTTAATGTTACATGCATACCACCCCTATATTATTTTAATATCAAATATACCACTTATATTTTTTTTCTATCACTAATATATTTCATTTCTACCACTCATATTTTATATGAAAATGAACTATGGGTGGTATATATGTAATATTAAAGTTTTAAATGTTACATATGTAAATAGAATAGTATAAGGTTGTTGTCTAGGTAATGTGAGACTAAGACTTCATTAGGGATGCTTTCTTATTGATTCTTAAAACAACTGTTTAATATAAAAAGTTACATTTTTATATTAAAAAAAATGCTTTAAGAAACAGTAAAAAAGTTGTCCCAAACGAAGCCTAAAAGTCAAAAAAAAAAATTCTCATTTCTCAAGTTTGCTATACATACACTATATATATTTAACAATGCATATAATATTTAAGTTTTATCTATTATTTTTCAATTTTATTTAATTATCTTTTTTTTTTAATTATGTTTTAATATTAAATAATATAATATGAATTTATAGATATAATTTATAACATAAATTTTATATACTTTTCATAGATATAAATTATATCTAAACAAATAAAATAAATTAGAAATTATTTATCTTAAATTTAAAAATATATATGTAAACTAATTTTATATTAAATATGATTTGTATTGTTTAAAACATGTGGTTTTAAACCTCCAAATCATTTTTAATTTGGATGTTTGATCTGTATGAGTGGATGAATTTATATTTAAGTTTAAGATTAGATCATTATATTATTTTATTAAGCTTTAATAATATTATAATTTATTACATCATCATTGAACATATCTTGACAATTATGTCATCATTGAACATTCTGTCATCATTGAACATTATCCGCCTGCACGCCCGCTCGAGTGCCGCCTGCACGCCCGCGCGGGCATGATGTGGAACATTATAGCTAATAGTCCTTAGGAATAGCTTATCTAGTTTGTTACAAGTTTCTCTAGAATATTCTATAGATAGGTTATATATGTATGCATTGTAGTAGGGAAAGCTCATTGAATGATATTACACTCTTTGAAGCCTTTGAGCTTGCCTTTCTTCTTCTTCCTTGGATTGAGAAACCGAAATCCTTCTTGCATGTCTAGTCTTCCGACGATCCACTACATCAAGGCAGCTCACCGTAAACGGGTTTTCGGGTTGACCCGACAACCTGTCCGGTCAACTTGAACCTGCCCATTTTTCATCACTCTGTCTAATATTAGTGACTCGTTCCAATCCAACTTCTTACTCGCCATCAATAGTCTCAAAATCTTGCATCACCAACGAACATATTGTAGCAAAAAAAATTTTAAAAATATAATTTGATAATTATCAACGATATTATATAAGTCAAAATTACGTCATCACAAACGAACTTATTGTACCCCAAAAATAAAATCTAAAAATAAAATTTGATAATTATCAACAATATTTTATAAGTGAAAATTAAAAAAATTGTCAGAAGTGGGATTTGAACCCACGCCCTCTCACGAGGACCAGAACTTGAGTCTGGCGCCTTAGACCACTCGGCCATCCTGACGTTTAATAGCAAACATGTAAATATTCATATTAATACAGTGCTGCTCTTAGAAAAATAATTTAGTTAACTGATATTTTGGACGAATTATTTGGATGGCTATAGCACTTCACAAGCAAGTGGCTTATCAAGAAAGACTAAAATACAATTAAATTAACTTTAAATCAAATGAAGGTGATATATAATTGCAATAATTCAAAATTTTTAACTATTATATTTATTTATAGAGTTAAGAGGACTATAGAAAAGAAAACACTTTAAAATAAATATAAATAATTCATTATTTGACAAGCATAAATAAATGCATATAAGTAGCCATTAATCTTTGAGGTGACTAGGGATGTCACAAGCAAGTACCTTAAGTATATGGTGAGTTCTTTGAGATGATTGCTCTAGTGAATTCCACAAAAGCAAATGCCTCAAACTAGTCCTCTAAGGGCATCTCCAAATGAAACTCTCGTTTTTCAATGCAAAATATAGTAAAATCAAAAAGTGTCATGATTCATCTCCAGTGGAACGTCATTTTGCCCCCAAATCATCGCTCGTTTCTTTTGCGCCTTTCTCAGACGAGTTCGATAGAGAGAAAGAAATGACGCAAGTGAACAGTGCGACGCCAATATTGGCATCGCACTGTTCAACTACGATCAAATGGAGGAAGCAATGGCGTTCAGTTGCGATGTTTGAGCGCCTCCATTCGACTATTTGCCGAATGGTTGGAGATGGTCTAAGATGAATATTCTAAGTAAGTCTACGAAGGCGAAAACACCGAACAAGTGATCAGTCCCTCATGTTAAGCAAATATACTTATGTGCAAGTGTTCCATGCTAGGGGTTGTGAGATAGTGACAAACATAGTTGATCGAGCCATTATTGTGGGCTTTATAGGTATATGGTTGTGTGCTAGTGGTAGCATGGACAAAGATATGTAGAAGACACAAATCATTGAATGAGGAGAACTATGAAAAGAGTCAAGATCTCTTAAGATGAATGTTTCTTCAAGTAAATAAATGCCAAGGTGAGTTATTTGCCCAAATTCATGTATCATATGTGCCCCATCAATCAAGCTTATTGGGGCCAACCCCCAAAATGGAACTTCATTAGGGCAAATATGTGACTATCTATAATCATGCTCCAAGAAGTCCTAGTCAAGAAGTTGCCCTTTTTTGGAGAGTGCTCCTCTCACTTGATTTTCATAAGAGTGAATATGCTTGGTGCCTTCAATTTATCTATAATAACACTTATGGTCATACAACTATCATACCACTTCACCGCACAATAACATATGAATCAAAAGAATTTCACATATACAAAAAAATAAAAGATTTATCTCAAACAAGTAATCTTTGATTTACGCTTCATTTAAAATAGCTTTCTTACTATTTTCTAAAATATCTTTCTATTATAAAAAAATTTTGAGCTATAAATTTATAAAGAAAGAGATATCCCAAATTGTGGCTTAATCATTAGCTTAAAAATAAATAAATATTTTAAAAAAAACTTATTTAATAAGCATTACTTGTTAATATGAAAATACTTGGCTCCAAATTAGCTCTCTTAAAATATGATACTTTTATTCAATTTGATTTAACATCATTATAGAGTATGGATAATTTTTTTTATTTTTATGTTGGTTAAACTCGAGATCTTATCCACATATAGTTCTTTTTTATATACAAAGCTTGCTAGAGGAATAAATCTCCAGACTAGTAACTCATGGATCTTAGGATATAAGTGCGCAAACATAGATTCAAAGAGTTAGAACCATATTCAAGGTTTATGTAATCTTTCAAGTTAAACTTTCTTATTCATTTTAAAGAAATCTTAAAATGGTCTATTGAAGAAGCCATTAGTCATCAAGCCTCAATCAACTTATCAGCCAATCAGACAAATTTTATCAAAACTTAAAACAAACAATCACAAAACATCTAACTAAATACAAAACTTGACACAAAATAATCCGCTTCAATACAATGAAAAAATAAAGACGCAAAAAGATCATCAAACAAACCACATTTAAAAAAACAATTACCAACTAAACTTGGAAAGATATCAGAAAATTGAAAGCTTTTATATTCACTGCAACTTGTCCAACAACAAAACATAACCAGGGGTACAAAGAAATTTATCTTGATCATCAATACTAACATAAACTAAATAATATTAAACAACTTAAATAATAAAAAGTTGAGATTTTGATTCTAACTATCTTCATTCATCATCAGCTGGACCAGCTTTGGACGCACCGCCAGCTTTCTTAGGAAGAAGAAGGTTGTGAATGTTAGGCATAACGCCACCATTAGCAATTGTCACAGTGCCCAGAAGCTTAGAGAGTTCCTCGTCATTCCTCACAGCTAACTGAATGTGCCTTGGCACAATCCTGGTCTTCTTATTATCCCTGGCAGCATTCCCAGCCAACTCCAAGACCTGCACAAGCCATACGAGAAAAAAGTAAAAAAAAATGAACCAACAATAGATCACATCACTATATAAAACCAAGGAGTTTAACAAAGCAGAAAACTTTAGCGTGAAATCATAGCCTATCGCAATATAAAAAAAGTTATTCAGAACCAAAGTTAAAAAATTTTTAAAAGATCAGCGCAGTAAGTAAAAAATATGCATAAGCTAGAGCGAAATTTAATAAAAACAAAAGGTAAATAGAGGAAAATGAAAATAGTTAAAGAAGCAAAACAAATCACTACAGAAGTAGACATCAAAACCAAATCAACATGCAAAAATTACAGCAAAAGAGAAACAAAGAAGCACAAATAGCCACGCAACTATCGCAGAACGCCTAATCTAAACAGGTTGAAGGAATTATGTCGAATCCTCCACAATTCAAAAACGAAGTTTGTTACGACCGGTAAAATAACCAAACATGGAGGCACTCATACGATTTGCAACAAAGAAGACCAAAAAGCAAAGCCATACCTCGGCAGCAAGGTATTCTAGAACGGCGGCGAGGTAGACCGGGGCTCCGGCCCCAACTCGCTCAGCATATTTCCCGGCCTTGAGAAAACGAGCGATACGGCCGACCGGGAATTGAAGGCCGGCCTTGCTGCTCCTTGAAGTTGCCTTCTTCGCGGCTCCGGATCCGATCGCCTTTCCTCTTCCAGCCATTGCTACGTGCGATTGTGCGATTCTAGGGTTTGGCTATCGGCAGTCCAGAGGTAAAGGTGCAACTCCCAAATTTATATTTATAGGATGTAGGAGTTTTTTGAACCAATCATTGGATATCTCGCGGATCGTCATCATAAGCCGTTCGTTTTGGATGCGTTGGACGGTGAGATTGAGCTAGAAATCGTAAGGTTCAGAAACCAAGCCTCTGTCGAAAGTGAGAGATTTTACTTAATTATATCATTTGAAATATATAATTAAATTATTAAAATTTGATAATATTATTTTATAATAATTATATTTATATGATATCTTTATTTATTTTGACTTTCATTCTGCTTATAAAAATAAATTTAAACAAAAATATCTTTTAATGTTTAATTGTTCACAGCTCTTTATTGAGTATATATTGTGAATTTGTGATATCTATCTCACTATTTAATTTAATGATTCAAATTTTTGTTTGGTGCATTTACAGATTTATCTATTCATAGCAATCATTAGGATAAGTTACTTATAGCAATCATTATGTTGATCAATAAGCATATTTGAAGTATTTCTCTCCTGTAGATGAACATAGAAGTGAATGACATTGAGATCAACACACAAGATTATGACTTTAGTTTGGCGTGGAATCTGATTGTATTGATCAATCGGGTTATAATATTGCATCGAATCTCTAGTCAATTTCTCGTGTTCAGTAGGTGGTCCTCACTTTGCTTGAGTTAGGATGTTTTGCACCCAAAAAAAATTTCTCCGCTCAATACCTCGACGCTATGTGAGAAGGTGACTAGAGGAGAAGAAGAGGAATCCCAAGAGAGAGGGAGACAGTTCAAAATCTGCTCCAGGATCGTCCAGGACGATCTAGGATCGTTCTGGGACGATCAGTTGAAAATCTACTCCAGAATTTGACAAGATTTGCTCCAGGTGTTTTCCTGTAGGCATCGTCCAGGCCGATCGAGGACTTCGGCCAGGCCGATTGGCACTGTATAAAATATCGGCCGGAAAATAGTCCTGGGAACCGTCCAGGACGATCAAAATTGGTCTGATCGTCCTGGGACGATCTGGCGATCTGCCGGGCCGATCTGTGTATTATAAAGCTGAAATCAGTCGTTTGAAGAGAGAGAAAATTTTATAAAATATCTGATTTTTCTGAGGAGAGAGAAAGTCGAAAAGCTTTTTTCGTTTTGGATGCGTTGGACGGTGAGATTGAGCTAGAAATCGTAAGGTTCAGAAACCAAGCCTCTGTCGAAAGTGAGAGATTTTACTTAATTATATCATTTGAAATATATAATTAAATTATTAAAATTTGATAATATTATTTTATAATAATTATATTTATATGATATCTTTATTTATTTTGACTTTCATTCTGCTTATAAAAATAAATTTAAACAAAAATATCTTTTAATGTTTAATTGTTCACAGCTCTTTATTGAGTATATATTGTGAATTTGTGATATCTATCTCACTATTTAATTTAATGATTTAAAATTTTGTTTGGTGCATTTACAGATTTATCTATTCATAGCAATCATTAGGATAAGTTACTTATAGCAATCATTGTTGATCAATAAGCATATTTGAAGTATTTCTCTCATGTAGATGAACATAGAAGTGAATGACATTGAGATCAACACACAAGATTATGACTTTAGTTTGGCGTGGAATCTGATTGTATTGATCAATCGGGTTATAATATTGCATCGAATCTCTAGTCAATTTCTCGTGTTCAGTAGGTGGTCCTCACTTTGCTTGAGTTAGGATGTTTTGCACCCAAAAAAAATTTCTCCGCTCAATACCTCGACGCTATGTGAGAAGGTGACTAGAGGAGAAGAAGAGGAATCCCAAGAGAGAGGAAGACAACCAAACCAGTTGAGAAAGAAAATGTAGATCTATATTATGTCTTAAAGCTAGTTACAGGTTGTCTTAAATAGACACAGTAATGGTACAGAAGTAAATACATATGGTATAGAATAAGGTATAGTGTTCATTCGCTAACAGCCTTCCTCAAATTAAGCATTCGGTGGTTGAATGGTTAATTTGGATCGTAGATTGTTAAAGCGAGCGATAGAGAATGCTTTGGTTAAAATATCTGCTATTTGATTTTTCTGAAGGAATGTGCTGAAGTGTGATGTCGTCAGAGGAGAGATGTTGCTGAATGAAGTGATAGTCAATTTCAATGTGCTTTGTTTTTGCGTGAAAGACTGGGTTCTTGGCAAGAGCAATTGCGGAGACGTTGTCACAGTGAATGATGGTAGGTGAGTCTTGCGGAAGCAGGAGTTCGGCAGTGAGGCGGCGCAGCCATAGTACGTCAGAAGTCGCGGCGGAGAGTGCCCGGTATTCTACTTCGATTGATGATTTTGCAATGGTGACCTATTTCTTGACTGTTCAGGGGATTAGATTAGGACCCAAGAAGGTACAGAATCCGGAGACAGATTTCTTGTCCGTGTGGTCTGAAGCCCAGTCGGCGTCGGTGAATGTCCGGAGAGTGAGATCGCCCGGGACAAGTGGTAGGCCGAAGGAGATTATGCCTTTGATGTAGCGAAGGAGTCTTTTGAGGTCGTGGTAGTCATGATTGGTGGGCCGGTTCATCTGTTGGCAGATGTGGTTGGTGGCAAACGCAATGTCTAGTCTTGTGATTGAAAGGTATTGTAGAGCACTGGCTATTCGCCTGTAGAGCGAGGGATCGGCGAAGGGCTTGTTGGAATCTGTTTTGTGAGTGTTGTTCGGAGCAAGAGGAGTAGGGGAGGCTTTGCAGTCCGCGAACCCGATGTCCTTGAGTAGCTTTGTGGCGTAGTGTTGCTGAGTTAGGAAGAAGCCATTTGAGGTATGTAGAACTTGTATGCCTAGAAAGAGGGAGATGTTGCCTAGCTGTTTGAGAGCAAAGTTGGATTGAAGATCGTGGAGAAGAGACCGAATGGAGGCTGAGTCGTTTCCTGTTTGTGAATATCATATACGTAAATGAGCAGGAATATGTGAACATGATTTTGATTAAATATGAGTAAGGAAGGGTCAGAACGACTGAACCGAAAGCCTCGTGTTTTTAGAAAGGAGGTCAGCTTTTGGAACCACCGTCGTGGAGCTTGATGATCTTGCATACGTGTTCGGGCGAGTTTGGATCGATGAAGCCAGGTGGTTGACGCATATAGATGTCGTCCGGAAGATCTCCATGTAGGAAGGCGTTGGAGACGTCCAGTTTTTGTATTTGCCACTTTCGGTGAATGGCAAGGGTGAGAAGAAGCCAGATGGTGGGCATCTTGGCCACCGGACTAAACGTCTCGGTGTAATTTTCACCGTAGATTTGATTGTAGCCTAGAGCAACGAGGCGTGCTTTGTAGTGATCGACTTGGCCGGAGGGGAGCATCTGTGTTTTTAATGTCCATTTGCAACCAATTATTGGCTTGTTCGGCGGAGGAGGCTCCAGGGACCATGTCCCTTGGGTTTGTAGTGTGTGGAATTTGCCAGCCATGGCACGACGCCAGTGATCGTGTTTGAGCGCCTGAGTGTAGGAAGTCGGGGTCGGAGAGGTACTCGAGCTGCTCAATAGAGACAGAATGTGCTTCCGTTTGGAAATGCCAGACTTGGATCTGGTTTTCATGTGGTGGACGGTGTTGGTGGGAATTGCAGGAGCAGTAGTTGGGTTAGTCGAATTGTCATGTTGTGTATCAGACATAGTGGGCTGAGGCTGGATGGGAGCTATAATAGTTTTGGGATTGGTCTGAGGTTGAGTGACTGCGGGTTTGGTGATCCGAGAGGTAGCTGAGGTTGGGATGAGAAGGAGAGGAGATGTGCGATGGTTTGTGGGTTGATGCGGTAAAGCGGTATCAGTGTTGTAGGATTGATAGGGAAATATGTTTTCTTTGAAAATTACATGATGTGAAATGTGAGTTTTTCTTGGTAAGGAGGTTGTAGCACTTGTATCCTTTGTGGCTCGATGAGTAACCGATGAACAAGTCGGTGGAGCGAGGGGTAAATTTGTTGGCGGTATAAGGTTGAAGCCAGGATAGCAGAGACACCCGAATGTGCGAAGATGTGTGTAGGTGGGTATCTTGTTGTAGAGCATTTGGTAGGGAGAATTGATTTTTAGGGATGTGGAAGGGAGTCTATTTATTAGATAGTTTGCGGTTGAGGTTGCTTCAGCCCAGAATTGGTTTGGGAGATCGGCGGCATGAAGAAAAGTTCGAGTGAGTTCGAGCAAATGGCGGTGCTTCCTCTCCGCCAGGCCATTCTGTTCTGGTGTATAAGGGCAGCTCAGTTGATGTATGATGCCATTGTTTTGGAGAAATGTTTGAAATGCGATGCTAACAAATTCTCCGCCTCCATTAGAGCGAAACGTTTTGGGAGTGGTGGAGAATTGAGTGCGAACTAAGCTGCATAATAATTGAAATTTCAAGAACGTTTCCTGTTTAGAATGCATAAAATAAATCCAAGAAAAATGAGTATAATCATTAATGAAAATCACATAATATCGGAATCCATTTAAAGAAATTTGTTATGCCAGTCCCTACACGTCTGAATGTATTAGTTTGAACGGTGTTGAGGATTCGGTCATTCTTTTATTGAAGGGTAGCTTGTGGCTTTTGGCTACATTACAAGATTTGCAAAGAAAGGAAATAGAGAAGTTCTTGCATTCAAGTATGTGACGGGCAAGAACAGGAAGTAGTTTGTTGTTCGAATGTCCGAGGCAGGCATGCCAAGTCTGAGACATCATGGTGCTGACGTGAAGAGCTGTAGGCGGCTCCTCCGATGCCGAATGTATATGGTAGAGGCCTTTATGAAGGTGTCCACGAAAAAGTAGACGATTGTCTAATGAATCCTCAATTTCAAAGCCGTTAGTATTGAATGTAATGGAAATTAAATTATCAGAGATTAATTTCGAGACAAAAAGGAGATTATGCGTGAGAGATGGAACGTGTAAGATATTACGTTACCGGAGCTTACGGGGTGTATCCGGTAACAGTAGCAAACCTTGGCCGGTGTTCTGGATTGATAATGTGGAGCCATTGGCGATCGACACAGAGTCTTGGCCGGAGTAAGGATACAAATGTTGAAGCTAATTCATGTTTGGCATTAGATGCGTTGTGGCCCCAGTATCAAGAACCCAATCTTGATTCCCGTAGGGAGAAGGTTGCACGAGCATTGCTCTAGGTGCGGCGGCGGAGGTAGGGGCATATTTTTGAGTATACATGTGCCAACAATTTAAGGCACTATGCCCTGTTTTACCGCATATTTGGCATACGGGACGCTGAGTTTGAGGTGAAGCCGGAGTGGGAGTTTGAGTAGTTAGAGGCGGCATGGTGAACGAAGTGTTCTTGTTCTGGTTTGGGGGTCGTTCGATGCGACCTTTGGATTGATTAGAGGATGTGGTGTAGAGAGCGAACACGGAAGAGGAGGAGGACTGATCTTTTTGAATGTCTTGATTGACATGTATCTCCTCACTACAAAGTAGTGAGTAGAGATTGTCAAGATCGGCGGGAAGCGGTGAAGTACGAACGACTGTCTTGAATGAATTATAGGTCGACGGAAGCCCATTTAGGATGTATAGCACGATGTCCTCCGGATCAATCTTGGAACCTGCGGCGGCGATGTTGTCGACGATGTTCTTGATTTGGGACAGGTATCGTTGCATTGTGAGGTTGTTCATTTGGAGATGATGAAGTTCGTTCTTGAGTTGAAGAACGCGCGAACGGCTTGAAGGCTGCAGCCGGCGTTCAAGAACTTGTCAGATTTCATTTGACGTGGTGGCGGTGATGACGTAGGTAAGAATCGATTGCGATATTGTGGAGAAGAGGGCGGAGATCAACTTGCTATCAATTAGTCGCCAGCGGACTGGTTCTTGTGAGCTTTCGTCGGGCGGCTGAGGTTGGGCACCCGTGAGATGTCCTGCATAGCCGTTCGCCGTGAATTGCTGAAGAATCTGAATATGCCAAATGGCGTAGTTGTCTGCATTGAGCAGATGAGGGAGGAGGTTCTTGATGTTGGAGACCAAGAACTTAAGTGGTGCCGGGATGCAGACGTCGGTGTGATGTCATCCGGGTTGGAGGAGGAAGAGGGAGGGAGGGAGGAAGTTGAGCTATGGTCCCCCATTAATGGCTCTATGATACCATGAGAAGGTGACTAGAGGAGAAGAAGAGGAATCCCGAGAGAGAGGGAGACAGCCAAACCAATTGAGAAAGAAAATGTAGATCTATATTATGTCTTAAAGCTAGTTACAGGTTGTCTTAAATAGACACAGTAATGGTACAAAAGTAAATACATATGGTATAGAATAAGGTATAGTGTTCATTCGCTAACACTATGTACCCGAGCACTCCGACGTTGTGTTCTCAAGCGCCAAGTGCTATAGAGTTTTCTGGGAAAAATAACGAGCGAAGCACCGCAACGCTATAGTTTCAATGCCGCAGCGCTGCGGATTAGTTTGTAGCTGACTGATTAGTTCTCTTAGCATCTATTGGCGTCTATATTAGAGGAAGCACTTGCCTATGGAGATAACACTGATTAGTTAGTTTAGAACTATTTGATGGGGACTATCCTAGTACGCGGGACATCTTATCTACTTTACTCTTACCACTACTATAGTTATTATTTCTTTTCTGTTTTTTGTGATGCACGTTCTCTTATTCCCTAACTAACTACAGCCTCATAGTGGAAATGTACTCACGGCATGATATATGTGCCTTTACAGACGACTACAGAAAATAGAAGAAATATACTCCTGATTCCCGCATACTGTTCTATTGGTTCCTTGGTTCTTCTCTTTTTCTTGCAGGTCATCGCCGTTGCTGCTCGGAGTTCACATCACTATTACTGAAGCCCTATGATTCTATTGAGCAAGTGGTTGTAGAATGTTTTATGAAACTTACACTTCCCTGCACTTGGAGATGTAAATTTGCATGGGAACCAAATAAGATATTCTGCAATAATAGCTAACATAAGAACTACTTTAATAATTAGATTAGGATTGCAAATATTCATCTTCACGCTTGTGTTCGTTTACGAGAAATTATTCTGTGCGGACAACGGATGGTCTGGAGACCAATCACATTGTGCCACGTCGTCCAGTACCTAACGGTATTGAGCATCGATACCAAACAAAATGAAGTGACGCATTCTGATTGATCTCCGGACATTGTCTAGAATCCACACAGAATAATTTTCCGTCATTTAGACTCTGAATATTAGCATTAGCTTTCACATGGATTTGTCTCTGATCAAAAAGTTAGAAGATTGACAGTCCAACAAAGCATGAAATAACACTAGACAAGAAAATGAAAATACTTGAACAATAATTTATATATGAGGTAACTCGAAAAGAACGTTACATTGCACAGATAAGTCTATCAGTAAAGTGTAAAAAGTAGTAGTATCAAGCACAAAATCAGCTTAACTATTGTTAAAGACCAATAAGTTTGGTGTCAAACTCTATGAGGCACATTGTCGAACATTTAGTGAGCGTTTAGAGCATTATGTCGAGCACGTAAACATTATAAATTTCCAAATGGTGTTGAATTCAAGCCATCGTCATCTTCCCCAAATTCATGGAGAATAATCTGAGCGGTAGGAGAAGACTTCTGAAGAAGCAAAACTTCTCCTTTCAGAATCCTCCAGTCCAGTATTCCTTCACCATTCGACTTCTTACCAGGCCGAATGACTAACACCAGAGTTTCCAAAACTACGGCTTTCTGTAAAAGAGAGCTCACCAAACTCATTTCATTACTGCTTCCTTTTAAATTTGTAATCTTGATCAGTTTCAGACGATCAAAGTAAGTGTTACACTTCAAACTCATCCACCCCCCATGCTTCTCCTCATTTGGATAGTCAATGTGTTTCGGTAGCTGCTTGCAGGAGTATTAAAAGGTAATTTACTGAAAGAGAATTCAAAATCAGTTAAAAAATGAACTTACCTGGATGCAAAGCTTTTCAAGGAATGGGAAGGAGCAGAGATAGAAGAATTTGTAGAAGCAGGTGAGATCCTCGTTGGTCATTGAACTCATCAGAAGCTGTAATTCTCTGAGATTTTGATATTTTAGTGGAAGTTCAATATCTAAGTTTCCTTCAAATTCATTCAGATGCTGACACAGTACCAACGGTAAAGATTAGTTAGTTCAAACAAACAAGTAATGGATAAAAGAACTATAGGAATTTTCTGCTAAGAGGTAACAAACACCATTAGAGCTCCAGAGCATAAGGTGAGTATTTGAAGGTGTGACAGATCTGATAATATGCTAACGTTCCTCCTATTCAGAACATATAAAATGTCTGATAATAAGCTCATGTTCCTCCAGTATCTAATATTGGAACAGATTGACGCATCTTTCAGTGATGAGATGTTCAAAAACTTTGTTTGAATACATAATCTTCCAAAGTAGTGAAAAGATTGAAGCTTTGGAGAATTGATCTCCAACAAATCGACTGATTGGCAATCCCTAATGATCAACCTCTTGAGATTGAGATTTGGAACAATAATGCTAATAACACCAAGTTGCTGACAGCTCCTAAGACTCAAGCTCTCAAGAAGAGAGCATTCAGTGAGAATGCTCTGAAGCATTTCTTCACTGATATTGGAATGACTGAGTGAGAGAGATTGCAAGCCACCAAAATTGCTAAAATTCAAAGGAGTTTTGAAATTGCAGCAACGTAAGCTCAAATCAATCAATGTATCACAATCAAATAGAGAAGAAGGAAGCTCAAACGAGCTTCTGCCATGGCTGAATTCACCTTGGGATAAGTCTATATCAAGATATCTAACACCTTTACCGATTGCATAACTTATCCACCTCTCTATATCAGAAGCAAAGAAATCAAATGGAGAGAAGAAAAGATGGAACCTTTCCAGCTTCTTACATGCATGAAGTGATAGATATCTGTTAACTGTTTCCACAAACTCAATTGCAGATAGATTATTCACAAAGTCCTCACCGAAGTCCAGTGCAGTGGCTGTAGAGAGAGAGTATTTCCATAGATTTCGCCATTTTTTGGAGAGAACGTCGGTTCTGATTGCTGATTTCAGAGGCATCATTGTGAGGATGCTCTGAAGAACAGATTCAGGCAAGTTGCTGATCCTATCTTCACCTCTTCCCATTGTTTTCTTCTCTTCCTGCCTTATTTGTGAATGACTGACTTCTCTTCCCAACACACAGATTTCTACAAAATCTACATTCACTTCACCAACAAAAAGTTCATTTCTTATAATAAGAACTTGACTATGACCAGGGATGCTACATCTACAGTCAATGTCCATTATGATTTAGGTGCCCAGTCCATTTGATTGGGTGGAAAATATTCAAGGTTTAGGCTTCGTTTGCCATGGTTTTTTTATTGCTTCTTAAAGCATAATTTTAGTACCAAATTTTATATTTTGTACTAAAACTCTGTTTTAAGAAACAATAAAAAAACATCCCAAACGAAACCTTAATGTACTATGATTATTTTGTTGTGATAGTATTCTTTAGAGGTGGTGTAAACGAGCTCTCGAGTTTAAATTGATTGATTAACCAAATTTAGTTTAAATTTAAGTTTAATTTTATGAGTTCAAATTGTCATTTATGCTTATTTGTTATATTAAAAAAAAACTATTTATTGTTTGAAATTTTTAACTATTGGCATTATAGTTAATTAATAATTAATAAAAAAATATTTGAAATAAGAGAGATAAAATTTAAATAACTGACAAATTTAACTTAAAATTATTAAATTCTAATATATTTTATATTAATTTTTTTAAATAAATTTGCTCACAAACTAATGAGGCTAATTACATCAAGCTTAATCTTGTTTGCTCATGGAATTTTATTCATAAACCATTTAGTAAGTCCATTACAAACATATCTGTGATAAACAAGCTCGCTCATTAGCTAATGAGTTATCACTAATAAGCAATTTAATTGACTAGTACAAAAATTTAATTTTTTTAATAAAAAAGTTATTTTAAAAGCAGAAAGAAAGTCATCCCAAATGAGAGAAAATATTACGTGTAGTCATCAGATACTGTCTGCAGTCGATTCAGAGTGCACCACATCACCAATTTGCTATATACTGCAACTGTGCAAACCTATATACAAGAAAACATGGAACATCCTGAATCGTCTCCGGACAGTTCGGTGACCGCACATAATAATTTCTCTCTAAACGAAGCCTAAATATGCTTATCAAACAATTAAAAACACGCAGAAAATAGCTTCTTTCCAAAATTTTAGAATTTGGGAATGCCTTCTGTATACTGCCTTCTGTATACTTAGAAAATAGATTGAGACATCAATAGCGAAGCATAAATGCAGCATCATATATGTAGAAAACAATAATTGAAAGCTACTTCATCAGCAATTACAATTTCATCAAATGAATAAGTTTCGAAATTTAGCAACATATAATTTGTTTGATAACTGCGGCAAGATAATCAATTATTTACAAAACGCGGTTTTGAATTCAATCAATGTGCTGCAGAAAAATCCAGATTTGGAAAGCTAGCAAGCTTACTCAACTCAACTCATTAATAGTTCACAAGAAACACATCAACTCATGAGTTTGTCAAACTGGCCATTTAATATAAAATATATTACATTTTTATAATTATTTTTTAAATCAAACTTAAGCTTTCTCGATTTCAAAACAAACTACAACAACATCAAATCTTTATCCCACAATATGACGTCGACTACATGAATCATTTGTCTCTTTTGTGTCCTATTAAGGATTAATTATTCTGTGCGGACACCGAACATCATGTGAAGACCAATCAGAATGCGCCATGTGTGTACCACAGCTCGATACTGCTTGGTACCGTTGACGTGGCTGCACCTGATTCAACTCCAAACGTAGAACTGTATCCGGCCTCCACACAATAATTTCTCCATGTAAAGAGTCAAATTCTCATTTAAATCTAACCAAAAAATGATCATTTCTAATATGTTATGACCAAATCTTTTTAGATCTACCTCTATCTTTCTTAACATAAGCCAAATCTAATACACCTACTCTCCTAACAACAATAAAAAAAAATATATATGAAAAAAAAAAATAGTTACAAATAACTAAAATTTAAAATTTAGGCTAAATGTACAATATCGTATTGATACCATTAAACAATTGGAAGACAAAATGCCTCAAAATATAATACATGCACGTATTCACAGTGGTAGAGAAATATAAAGTTAGTGTCTTAGCGTTATACGAAAATCCAGCACGCAATCAGATAAGAGAGAGGGTCTAGCATTTATGAGACACCAAGATTTTTACATGAAAACCCCTGAAAAGGGGGAAAAACCATGAGGTCTAGCCCAATTCGAATGAATCCACTAGTATAGTAGTTGATTACAAATGAGGTCCTTCCTTGAGAGAAGGCCTTAGCTTGATGTAAATTTTATAGAGTACATTACATGATGTGAATACAAAGAGTCACTATTAACGTGTTCGTTTGGTCGGGAGGACCATAGTCTGGTGACGAAGGTCGAAAAGACTGTAGTCTGCGGACGACGTAAGTTAGGAAGACCGTAGTCGGCTGGCGACGGAGGTCGGAAGGAGTGTAGTCGGTGGGCGACGTAAGTCAGAAGGACGTAGTCGGCGAGCGACGTATGTCGGAAAGACTGTAGTCGGCGGGCGACGTAAGTTAGAATAACCATAGTCGGCTGGTGACGGAGGTCGGAAGGACTGTTATCTAACGAATAATGTCAGAAGGACGGCGTCAGGTAGAAGTCCAACAATGAAAAGAAATTCATCTTCGGATAGACGTCCAGCGAAAGTTCGATAACCAGTAGAAGTCCGGCGTTGGGTACAAACTTGGCGATGAGCGAATGTCCGACATCGGGTAGAAGTCCGACATTTGTTGGTGGCCGAGGAGAATTCCGGTATCACTTGGGCGGAGTTTCGGCGTCAGGGGGGAACTCTGTCTTTACTTGGGCAGAATTTCAACGCCCCGTGGAAGTTGGGCAGAATTCTGCCATTCCTTGGAGGTCGGGATGAATTCCGGAGTCGTTCAGATAGAATTCTGACGGTGGTGGTCGAGGAGGAGTTCTTCCCTCCTAATCTTCTTTTCTTCTCTTCTCCTTCTCTTTTTCCTCTTGCTTGGCTCTTGGGTCCCCTCTCATGAGAAATGAGGGGTCTATTTAAAGATATTTTGGAGTGGCATGACTTGTAAATAGGTGAGAGATCATGGGTAAATAGGGAGTGGTCGGATGGACAGTCGATATTGAATCCCTTGATCGTGCACCGTTCGTCAGATATTTAAAAGTCTTAATGATCTCGGAATTTGGCGATCTTGAGCTCGTTGGATTTGTCTCGTCGAGCCGCTCGATTCGACTATAAGTTCATTATTTTTTGAAACCGTTTGGTAATCCAAATTGTGGTTTGAACTTTCCAACATCACTTCGGGTGCTTGATCTGGACACATTTGGGCTCGGATCGAGTCGAATTTGGTGTCGTTGAGTTCCTATTTCTGAGACGCTCAGTTTTACTATAAGTTCGTTGAAATATGAGTTCAGGTGATCCCGTATTTAATTTTTGAAGTTTTTTGCTTGATTTTGCCTCGAGATTCATGTCCGAACAAGATAAATTTTCGATGATATATCAACATTAATATTGAAATGAAATCCTCAATTGCCACGACAGAATCATCCAACACTTTATAGTCTGAAATTAAGACTGAATGATTAATATCGAAGTCTCATAAATATTGTCTAATGAAAATCATTTAGCTAAAGGATAACCTAAAGCAAAATTCCCAAAACCTAATTGTCATAACAGAATATATTTATAACAAAAGCCAAAAACACATCTCAGCAGTAGTATCAAGTCTACTACTACTGCTGACGTATTTCAGATTTCTTCTTCTGCCAGAGCCTATCAAGAGCGCTGTCAGCATCTCCCTGAAAAAAATGAAAGGAAAGAGTACATTATAATCTGAAATTTCAAAAAAAAAAAAGATCAGGATATAATAAATCTATGATTTTAGAGCGCAATTCTACAAAAGACTAACTTAATAACAAAATTGTGATCAAGAAAACACCAATAAGGGTTTGGATCTGGATTAATTATTCTGTGCAGAAGTCGAACGTTGTTCAAAGACCAACCAAAATATGACACATCACCCTTTCACTGTGTAGTGCGCCTCGGTACTGCTCGGTATTGTGGCTTGATAATGCTGACGTGGACATACCTGATTCACCTCCAAACATAGAGCTGCGTCCAGCGTCCGAACAGAATAATTTCTCCTGGATCTGAGTCTAAATGGGCATAAATCAAACTTTTGATAGGGGAAGAGGGCTTCAATCAAGTATTAATGCTTACTTGATTTGAGTTTGAGAATTATGAAAGTATTTAACTAAATTCAATTTGAATTTGAAATTCAAATTGATTTAATTTAGAAACTTTCCTAAAATAACCTTGGTAATTTAAAAAAAGATTTTAAAGTTCAAATTGTTTGAATTTGAATTCAAAATATGTCCAAATTATACCAATCGAAATTAGGCAAGGGAAAGCAATGGAGGAGGGGAGCTAGGGCCGGC